AAAAAAAAAAAAAAAAAAAAAAAAAAAAGAACGTCACAGCTGACCGTGCCAGTTACTGCTGAGAAAGGGTTTTAGCAAAATGGAAATGGAGACTTACATTTAGCAAGATGTTATCTGGCAACTTCCATGAGCTCTGTTTGACTAGATAGTAGAAAGAAAGCCTAATTTGAATGAATTGTGTAATAAATGAGAGGTAAGGAAAGTTTTTGTTGTTGTTGTGGTTGTTTTTTTGGGGGGGGTTTGTTGTTGTTGTTTTAGTTTTGGGGATTGAACTCAGGCCTTGTACTTGCAAGGCAGGCAGCGGAACCGCTGAGCTAAATCCACAGCCCAGAGGTAAGGGAAGTGAAGATAGTGAATAGAATTTTTTCGAAGACTCTCATTGTAAACAGAAATGAGGTGGAGGCTGGAGAAAGAGGTGAGGCTAAAAGGTATTATTTTTAGATGGATGAGACTGACACACAGCCGTGTCTAAGGAGAGTGATTCTCATGTCATTCTTCACGTGATTGTAGTATCCACTTTAAACTTCTTCGAATATTTTCATCTTTAATTTCTGTGATTCAGCACTTAGCTTGCTTACTTCTGCGGGCTCCCTTTTCTCTGTCACTACTGTCAGCCTCTTCTACCAGAGTTGGCTGCCATACATAATTTTGCAGACAGTTTATACCAAGCACCATGTAAATGCTTTCCCCGAGTGAGACCGTCCCCGCTCACCACACTGTTGTCTAACCTCGGTTACCGGCCTCAAAACAAAATGCTTATATTTGAAGTCCATAGACACTTTACGTGTTGGTGTTGTGGCTTACAGGTAAGTTGTAGAAGTATGGTTAGTCAAAACTTAAAATCACAACGGTGGTAGTTTTATTATTTATATCTAGATGTCTCCACAAAGCCTTGTTCTTTGGAAGGTGACTAGATCTGGGTGTGTGGCAGTCATCACTGGATTCATCCATTGATGGCTTCACAGCTAAATGTGATGTTTGGAGGTGAACCCCGGTGGGAAAAGGTGAGTCACTGTGGGATGGCCTAGAAGGAAATATATACATAAATTCCCCTTCATCTTGCCTGCCCCACCGTGAGCTCTCTGTCCTGTGCCTCTCTGCCGTGCTGCCCTGCTTTGGAGCCACCCAACTGTGGACTGAACCTGTACAAACTGAGAGCCAAAGTAAATGTTTCTTCCTTTGAGGTGTAAGTGTGGGTATCGTGGCCCAGTGACAGAAAAATAACTAAGAAAAGTAGTATGCTTGCAAAGGGAAAATCTTGAGATTCAGTAGAAAATGTTTATTTCTGAAAGATTTCTACCTCCAATTAAAGCATTATTAAAAAGAATAGAAAAAGAAAAGCCTGTCTTTCCTCATTCAGCATCCTTTGTTAAATCGGTAAACTGAGTTATAATAGTAAACTTCACATTAAGAGAGAGTTACCAAGTTCAAAACAAGTTGCCTGTTAAAAACATATGAAGCAATAGTTAAAAAGCTATATGTGAGCCACAGATAGTGGCACACAACTGTAATGTCAGCACTTTGGGAGGCTGAAGCAGGAGGATCACAAATATGAGCCCAGCCTGGCCAACTTAGTGACTTAGTGTCTTAGTTACTTTTCTCTTTGCTGAGACAAAAATACCCAACACCCAAAGTTAAAGAAGGGAAGATTTATTTAGCTCACAGTTTGTAGAGGTTTCAGTCCATAAGGCAGGGTGGCACAGCAGACAGGCACCACAGAGAAGAAACAGTCCATGCTGGGCAGAAGGTAGCAGAACAAACAAGGAAAATGATCACAGCTCTTTCTATCCCTTAATATCTTATCTCTTACTCCTAGTGGCCTTGAGCCTAGTTTTGCACCATGAATCAGTCCTAGAATCACACACTGTAAATATGGCCACCTCTGAAAAAGCCCCATATGATTGCATGAGGCTTTGCAGGGACATCTAGACACAAGCCATAACACTTAGCCAGACCATATCTCCAAAGAAAAAAATAAAAAGACAGGATATACCTCAGTGCAAAGGCCCTGTGTTCAAACCCCAGTATCAAAAAAAATTTTTAAAAAGCTTCATGTATTGGCTGTTGAAGGAAGGCTCTTTAACTAAATTAACTACAACCTGACTAAATGCAATATTCAGAATAGAATAGAGTTCTCTTTATTTTAAATGTTATATAATTCAATTTATTTACTGATTTATTTTTGCTGTGCTGGAGATCTAATTTGGGGTTTTCTTTATGCTGGATAAATTCACTACCTCTCTTTATTTTTAATAGCCCAAAACTCCAAAACTGAAAGCAACCCAAATGTCTAACAAGTGAATGTGGAGTGTATGATATGTCTTTCCGTGGAATGTTGCTTAGCAATAGCAGTAAGCTATTGATACAAATTGCAAGATGGATGAATCTCAAAATAATTATAAGTGAAGAAACCAGACCCTCCAAAAAACTTACACTATATGATTTTATTTATTTAAAATTCTCAAAAATGGAAACCATAGTGACACAAAACAGATCTCTGCTTGCCCGTGGGAGGAGGAGAAGGACAGAAGGAAGGGATTAGCAAGCAGCATAAGAAAACTTTTAAAGGATAGAGATGTTCATTATCTTGATTGTGATCATGATCTCACTGGAGTAAACATACGTTAAAATTTAGCAAATTGTACGCTGTAAGTATATGCACATTTTTGCCAATTATAACTGAGTAAAGCTACAGAAAAATGAAGGAAAACGAAAGGTTTCTGTATGTCTGAAATTGATTTACGTAACCTTTGATCTCATATTAGAAAGTGAAAGCAATGCAAGGGGAAACATTTTGCAGGACAGCCGTGAAAATGTCACTAGACTCTTACAGGATTCATGAAACTAAATGCCATTTTAAAAATGCAAATAAGTTCTTTCACTTTCTGGTTGCATTTATAAATCTGTCTATAAAGGGGAAACATATATTTGTGCTTACAAAACATTACTTAATTATTTCACCTCTGTGCACCTTGAACTAACTTGAGTTCAGAAGTTCATCACCTCCACATAGATAACAAAAAATCATTCAGAATTCATCTTTGGTAATATTTATGAACAATGTCCCTGTACTAGTTATAGGTGTGTCAAATGGCTTTTCTCTGACTAAAGTTCATGCTGCATTCCTTACAGTCTGTAAACACCATCCTACCACTTTACCTCTGTCTTTGTCTCACAAACATTTAATAAGGAATGGGTAAAGCAAGAACAAACGTAAAACAACAAAAAACAGCAGTATCTGTCTATACCTAGTTCTTTTCTTTATCTCACATGCATAATATACCTATGTACTCTTTGGAGACATCATAAATTCTTTCTGACTGACTCTAAGGGACTTAATTACTTACACATTTTACTTAACCAAAACAACAACAAGAGAACCAACTTGTTATAGTACTTGGAGATCATGGACAGACTCATGATGTGTGATCTACCATCTTAGGGATTTAAAGTGTTCTTGCACAATCAGACTTTGTAAATTAAGACCTGGAAGGCACCCAGGGAGTGGCTGAGGTCTGCATTTATTGCTGAACTTTGGCATTACACTCTCCACTGACTGGTGGTGATCTGGGGCTAGTTAACTGGGTGGAGATGAGCTTGTCTCAGTAGAATAATTTAGTATTATTAGCATGACATTTGGTACTGATACTCTAGCAATCAGGATCACTTGTCTCCTGACTCCCAAATTATAAATTTAAAAAGAAGTGTTAAAACATGTTATTCTAAGAAATGAGTTAAAAACTGAAATATAAAAAGGACTCTAGTTAAATTTGTTGAGCCTTACAAATGTGATAAGTAAATTTGATAGTAACAGTTACATGGCAAAGTAAGTTTTTCTTCTTGTTGTTTTGTTTCTTGTTGGAGGTTGGGCTAGACCAGGAGTTAGGGAAGGAAAGATGCTGTATGTGGTATTATACTAATGTTTTTCTCCAGGCCTGAATGTAACCAGTTACTATCATGTATATGTGGAAAATTAAAAATTTAAAAATTCTACAATTGGTTAAATTCTGTTGTTGAATATATATAACTGTGAAAGGAAATAAAATAGACGCATAAGGTTTTATTTCTACTTTCTTCCCCTGGAAGAAGAATTGCCTCTAGGCAAGAAGGCCTAGGCATCTAATACAAATCTAAATCAAAACAGTTAATTTTTAATTTTCTTAAACTAAGAGGCATCAGACCAGCCAGACCAGTGACATATTAATTTAGGGAATGACATATTAATTGAGATTTAAGACTAATAATTGTCAAGTTCCTCTTCAATGAGTCAAATTCATTCAGCCATTTGGAAACCTTTAAACATGTGAGATATATGCTTTTTAAAATCCCGACTTAAAAATGAAAATTAAATGGTAACTTGCTGGCCTTAAAGATGATTCTCTTTCTGTTTTACATAGCATTGTTTCCCTTGACCTTCCAGAATGCTAGGGAAGCTGAAAATTTTACATATAACTCTTGGCTGTCCCTAAATAGAACTTACAATATAATAAATTCAGGACCATATATGTCATGGAGCAAAAGCTAGCTTAAGATTATTGAGTTTTAGAAAGTTGTCTGATTTTATTTTTGTGTGTTTTCCAGGTTATCTTAAACTGAAATGACCATAAAATATTGGTTTGCCTAGTCGTTATTGGGCATAGCCTACTTAGTTTTTTTTAAAACCAAACAGTTTACATTTTTTGTTTGTTTGTTTCAGGACTGATGCCTGTGGCACAACAGCCAGTTTACTGTGCCTCAAAGCACGGCATAATTGGATTCACACGCTCAACAGCGGTGAGGACATAAAACCACAAAAAGCCCTGTTCCCTTGTATGAATATATGAAACAAAAACTGCATTAGAGGAGGATGAATTCAGAATTAGATACATCTACATTAAAGATAGAAATGATATTTTACTTTAACCTTTATAATAAAAGTAGTTTTCTGATCACATAAAAGAATAAAAAACATACATCATTAAAGTTGAAGTAGATTAGAAACATAGATGTGTTATCTAAAATATCTCAAGGACAAATAATGAGGAAGTTGACTCCACATTTAAATATTATTAACATGCAGCTTCCATAAGGAAATCATGCAGTAAGCTGTATTTGAAAAGGAGTGCAGTCTCGGAGCTAGAAGGAGACCAGGTGGTTACTTGATAGAGTGCTCAAGAACTGAGTGTCCATGAAGACTGGGGTGGAAGGTGCACAGACCTTAGAAACATACTCAGACGTAATTTGATAATAATACTAGGTGAGAAGGTTGAGCTCTTAATCTGACAAAAGGGCAGCTTGAATGGAGGTAGCCGGGAAATAAAAAGTTGGGTGAGATCTAACTAGAGATATAAGCAGGACAAGAAATTATGAGCCAGGGCTGTGAGCTTGGGTTTTATTCTAAGTGCACTGTTGATGGGTCTTTTGTTCACAACAGTAAAATAGCAGCTTTCCATTTTAAGAAAACCAATCCAGCCAGGTACAGTGGTGTACTTCTGTAGTCCCAGCACAGGCTGAAGCAGGAAGGTGGCAAGTCTGAGCCCACTCTGAATAACTGAGTGATTCTGTCTCAAAATATAAAATTTTTAAAAGACTGGGATGTAGCTCAGTGCAAAGGCCGTGGGTTCACTCCCAATTGCCTCAGAAAAGAAAAAAAAAGTGCCGTTCTGCCCATGTTGAAAATGTATTACAAGAACAAATGTAAAGGAACAAAGAGCAGGTGTGGGGTTTCTAGGTGGTTAATCTAAGTGACACAGGAGAGAAGCTAGAGCAATGCAGAGAAAAACTTAACGATGGGAAGATTCTAGCGGACAGAATGAAACAAATTTGTAAATGTTGATAGCTCAATCCAAAAGAAAGAGAAGTAGTTCTCATGCTATTAAGTTAATTAGAAAATATTAATTTGCCAAGACAATTGTTTTTTATTAGTGCATGTTTGCAGTACATAATGATTACATTTATCATGGGGGATTTGTACATGTACACAACATAGCTTAGTTCTTATTTTGTGTCCTTCCTTTCCATCTCTCCCTGCTCCCTCTAGCTGTTCTTCCCTTTTCCACGTGCCAAAGCCGTTTCCACTTTTTTAACTCTTTTAGTTTGAATTTCTTTTTGCTTCTTTCCCTCTATCTCTTATTCTCCTTCCCATTTGAAAAAGATTTCTCTAGTTCTTGTTATCTTTTATTTTGCTCTTTAGTTATTCTTTGAGTTTTTTGTATAAGAGAAACTATATGATGATTTCAATTTGTGTCTCATTTATTTCACTTAACGTGATCTCAAGGTACATCCGTTTACTTACAAATGTCTCAATTTTGTCCTTCTTTATGCTAAAGTATTGTATATAAATACCACATTTCCTTCATCTATTCATCTGTTGATGAGTACATAGATGATTCCAACATTTAATTATTCTAAATTATACTGCTGTAAGCATGGGAATGCATCATCATTGTATATTGCCTTATCAATCTTTAACTCAATTTGTCATGAACACGTAAAGCTATTACAAAGTAAAATAAATTTTAAAGATCAGACATTCTGCATTGAAAATTATAAGACAGAAAATGTCTATAGTCAAATCTCATTATTGCAAATAGTTATGTTCTATGCACTTGCTTGCAAAGTGAATTAGTAACTGTTAAATCACTCCTTCTGGAAAATATAGGTAAAGTCCCCAAAATTTTATAGTCAAAAATTTTGATCAACCACTCAATACATAACCTCGCTTTATACATATTATATTTTTACTTTATA